AAAACTGTTGCTGCACCATTTCCCGCAGAACCTCACTGAGAATGTTGCATTGAGACTCACCATCGGCAGTCGGTGACGGATCCAGCAACAGGAGCGTGGCAAGGGCAATACGGTCCGATAACGGGATCTGCGGGAAACATCGTACAAAAGAAGCAAAACACTCACGACGCGCTGAAGGTGGAGAGCGATAAAATTCACCGATATGATCCTCATCAACATCACCTCCATCATTGTTGTTCGCTACACCTTTTTTTGCGCGGTAGTCCTTCTTCCTTTCTTCCGGGACCGTGGAGGGAGTAGCGGACGTCCAGAATGCGTTCATGAAAAAGAAGCAGAGCTCAATCCAAAAACTGCATTCCGATACATCCAGTGTCAACGTCGGTGGAACCCCATTCCGGTTTGCCGTCGCCGCCAAAAGCAACATTGCAAACGTGGAGTAGAGAGGATGGAGATGACTGTAGTGACACAGCAGTGCCGCGGCCTCATTCAGGCGGAGCATGAATACAAGAATAGCAACCCGCCGCTCCACCGCCTCCTGGAATGAGGCCATCTCAACGTGGTCGGCTGGCTTAAGTGAGGAAGCAGAGGGAGTAGAGAGCTCACCTTGAGACGTTGGCAAAAATAAATCCGTCGCCTCCATGCCCTCATCCGCACTCCCACGCGAACACAAATTTGAAGAGACGGTGGTGCTCTTCTCGCGGAGTGGTTGATGTTGCGGTGGAAACCCTGCGAGGGTCGGCTCCGACGGAGAAAACAACCTGCTCGGCAGCTGCACAGTCCTTTCAACATGCCCATCATCATCATCATCACCACCACCACCAGCTGGTGTGAGCATCAAACGCTCCTCCCTTGGGTCCGTCACCCACCCTGCCGCTAACAAAATGAGTTTGCGCACCCCGCAAAAAGCCTCCGGTATGCCGCTGTTAATCGGACGCCTCTCGCGCTCCAACAACTCCAGCAGCCCGGGGATGACATCTGGTACCGGCAGCGTCGCCCTTCCCGGGTACAGATAACGCTGCGCGTACCATCCGTAGCGGAACAGCACGTATGCCTCGCGGTCACTTTGTTCCTTTAAGAGAGTCGAAAGGACTTTGTCCGATTGAGGCACAAAACCGGCGCGAAGGCGATCCAGTCGGTGCAAATGGCGATCCACATGCGTGTTACCCGTATACACCCCTTTCGCTGTGGCGTTAACTGCGGCAAGTGTAGCCATTCCCGCACAGTTCGTCGGTGTGCTTTCTGCTGAATTACAAAAAGCCACACCACCCTTTTCCATCTCGTTGTAAGGATCATAATTGATGTGAGTACCCGCACTGCCCATACTGTTGTTATTAAAGCTCGTCCCATCGGGCTCCACCGATTTCCGTTCCGGCTGCCCCTCGAATAAACATCTTGAATCCAGAATGAAAACATTAGGCCCTGCGCTGCATAATGGAACGTCACCAATCATTGTTGCTTTGCAACCCACCGGAAAAAATACCTGCGGATATAATTCTCCCGTCTTTGCATCAAGAAGAAGAAGACAGGGGATGTCGGTGCGGCTGCCACCCGCCACGCGTTGGGATGGACCATGTTGGGCGCGTTGTTCCCCTTGTTTTCCCACCCCGTTTTCTTCCGCCATTGCCCCCTCCGAGCATCGAACGTGTGAGCGGCAGCCGTCCAGCCACGCCACACTCGCCGCTGGCACACGAGGCTGTGGATGGAAACGCTCGTCAAATGGCTTTGCGGTGCGCTTCGAGAGAGAGGAGTAAAATGGAGCATACACGGAGCGCCCCGACGTTCGATTGCCCTCCGTCTCCGTCAACGCCCCCTCATCCTCCTCAGTTTCTGAACGAAAATCACTGAATACATGCACCCGCAAACCGCCGTTCCGCGTTGTCGCAATGACGGTGGGAATCTCATGTGTGGACCAATTCAGTGAGGTGTACCCGACGCGGGAGTGACTTTGCCGACAGACTGGTCTGGATGTCATGCGCAGGTCCCATAGCTGCGCCACGTCCCGACGGCTCTGACTACCGACCGTTGCTACGTATATCCCCGAGCAATCGCATGCAACAAACTCTGCAAAGCAAACTTCAGAGATGGACGAGCCGGTGCCTGCTAAGCTCATGGTAGAGGCCGGACTAGTGGTCTCGAACGGCATACCGAGATAACGAATGCCGTTATCGGGTGAACGAAGGTCCATCACTTCTACACAATGCCCAATGCCATCTGAACGTTCTGCCGCCACCACTGTTGTATGACTACGCGGCGCCCAATCCAACGATGTCAACGTACCCTTCAGCAGACGTTCTTGAACCACGTTGACGGACAATACCGAGAGCGGCATACGTTCGGTGTTGCGAGTTACGGCAGATGGGTACGTCGGCGATGTGCCGAAGGATGCCTGACAACCATTGCTTACGCTAAAACTTTCTGCTGCCACCAAATTCAAAGGAAGTGAAGTGGAAGAAAGCATCCCGTTGCTATTCTCAATGTTCAAAAGTTGCACAACTCCGCTGCGTCTACCAATCGCCAGCGCAGACGCGTCAAGTGGGTCCCAACCAGAAGCCACAATCTCCGCCCTGTGGTTATGGTAACCGGCATCGTATGGCGCCCCATTCACCGACGTTGTGCAGAGCGCAGATACGGTATTTTCCGCGCCAATCCACGCACCCAAAGTTTTACCCGAATATAAGAACCGTAATGTATCATCCCGTGCGCAGCTCAAGGACAGTGTCAGTGGCACATTTGCAAGAGACTCGTCCCCACTGCTTTTCCCTTCAGGTGGGTTGGGCTGAAGATGTGATATGTACAACCGCCCAAAGCCCCGCGCTGCACTCCCAGCCACGCTAAGTACCTCCCCCTCGCGGAATTGGGATAACGGAATAACACATGACGCATCAATTGGCGTCCCACATCTCTTCCGTGTCATGCTCGGTGGAACCGACGCGATGGGAGAGGACGGGGCGGTGCGTGTAAATGCACTTTCCCACTCATTTCCCGCGGTGTTGGACTCCGTCTGCATGCCCTCCCCTACAGCTACACTCGTTGTTATTGTTGTTGTTGTTGTGGTGATGGTGGTGGTTGCCGCCCCTGCCTTTGTTTCCCGCAGCAGCTGCGACGACGAAGAAAGGCGGTAAATTTTAATTTTGTGCTGCGTTGCGGTCGCAAACACGCCTGTGTCCCCCGGCTGTTTGCAGAGCAGCATCCCGCTACCACCCACGCACACACCCGCCGCTGACTCTCTATTTATTTCCCTCTTTTTTCTTTTTTTCTTGGTGTGTGTGTGTGTGTGTGCACTTTTTCTTTTCCTTCCTTCCCCTCTCTCTT